GGGGGGGGGTGAGCCCAGCAGTAGAGGAGCCGGTGTGACTACGGAAAAACGCCTTTTGTAGCCAGGTGGGATGGTCACGTGGAGTCGCCGGTTCCGTGAACCGATCCACCCGGGTTCGTGGGTTAATGTTGTCGGCTCCATGCATGCTGGCTGGCTCTGTGTCAGGCAGCAGGAGGGGTGCCTGTGAGGAGCTGGCTTAACAGCTGGCTCCCCACAAGCACCAGCTCCACCAGCCGCCTCTGATAGGCAGCAGTGCAGAGGGTAAGGAGGGAGCTCCCTGCATGTATCCACTCTGAAGACCCCTGCTTGCCCCTTGCTGCTTCCTACAGAGAAGGTGGGGGGCAGGGAGGCAAGAGCTGGTGCTGGGGAGAGCTGGCTTAAAACCTGGTTCACCCCACAGCACCAGTTCCCTGGTGCCGCCTGCCCTCCCTCAGCCTCATTAGTTAACGGTGAAAACGTGCACTATTACATCCCTTGTGTAGAGAAGGCGAGTATTTTGCAAAGTTTGGATTTAGACTGAGAAGTAACCTAGCAATTTCCAGCTAAATTGAGTAACTGAGTTTCAGATGTTTCCCTAGCAAGCACTAACTTCATGAGGGCTATTCATGAGAGGAAAGTTATGCTTGTTAACTCCCAGTTCTGTCTCTAAAACACAAGACCGTCCTCATTCTCTCATCTAGTATTGCTACCTTTAATTCTGTCCTACTTTTAATGGAGATTTTAAAAAAAAATTGGAACTTTAAAAAAAAGTACATTTCTTTAAAAATCTGAGACTCAAATGTGTGGAAATCAGAAATTTGTATTACTTAGATTCTTTGAATATTAATCCTTAACTTTGAATTTTTCTTGGTTTGTATATGTAAATTAGACCCTTTATGTCCATTTAAATGTGGTTTATTGGACTAATTAACTTATTTCCAGCAAAATCTACATGTAACAACTGATAGGTTTGGGTATTTTAATATATGTTTTCAAGTGACAACACACATTTCAGGACTGTCTGTAAGCATGTGTCACTGTTGATTTGTTGGTATGCTTTGCAGGTGGAACTTGACTTCTTGTGGAACAAGTGTAGCCAGCTCAGAATGCAGCGAGGAGCTATTCTCATCAGTTTCAGTCGGTGATCAGGATGACTGCTACTCTCTGTTGGATGACCAGGAGTTCACATCTTTTGATCTGTTCCCAGAGGGTAGTGTCTGCAGTGATGTCTCCTCCTCTATTAGCACTTACTGGGATTGGTCAGACAGTGAGTTTGAATGGCAGGTAAGCTATTTTTGTAGTCAACCCATCAGATGAAGTGGGATCTACTGGTTGCTCTTTGCAGTTTAGACTCAGAAGTGACTGTTTGAGGCTCTTTGATGGCATGGTAGTCTCACTGCCTATTTAGATTCTGCAGTGAAGGAAAAGGTCATTTTATTACGAAGTTCCTATATTGAATTTTTATGACAAGACGTGGTCGGCTTCTGAAATAGGGATTTCATATTAGTCACATTCAGCTTTAGTTATCAGCATATCTTGCATCTGAATCCCAGTCCTTCCGTGTGGTGCACCTTCATCTGTATTGGAATCTGGCGGTGTATACGTGGCATTGACATTCCAGTGTGGCTTGCTTGCTGCTGAGTTATTAAATCCTATTAGTGACTTTGGCCTTGTGGGACAGTTAGTAATCACTGTGGACCAGCCCTCTATTCTGTGGTCCGGTGGATGGGAAGAGTGCCAAGATGAGCATTGTGTTACCTTGGCTCTTTCCTCCCAATCCGTTGTGCACAATTTAATCTGACCTCAGATTCTAATCTGGTTTCTTTAATTTTTGTTTGTATATAGTAGCCTTACCTGTGGAACGTGCACACGCTCTTTCTGTTACCGGTTGAGATTTGATTATTTTAATTGTAGTTAAATATCTGGAGCGTGCTGTTTTAGGATAAGTGTAATCATCCAATAAAAACATAGTGTTCCCTTGATCATTCATGGATTTTAATCATGTTATACAGGTTGTACTTCACTGGTACAACCTGTATTACCACCCTTGGGACCTAATTGGTTACAAACAGAAGTATTTGCTGGATCAGGAGAGGTCCATGCCAGCAGAAGGGCCGACATTGACCGAGCAGGGAAGGGGTGACTCCGAGGAAGAGGCAAGATGGCTGGGGAGCCCTGTAGAAGTGCATCAAGGCCCACTGCAGCTGCCCTGCCTCTTCCTTCCCCCACTGTCCTTGCTCCTCCGCCCTTCCTCCCTGAGCTTGAACACTGCAAACGAGCTATTGGGCTGTGGGAGGGTGGGAGCTGAGAGAAAGGGTTGCTGAGCACAGGGCTTTGGCTTTTCCCCATGAGTGCTCCAGCCAGAGAGAACCCACAGGGAATGTCGACCATAGATGTTGCCAGATGAGGAGAGGTTCCGCCTGTACTCTATCAGCCAGAGAGAACCCACAGGGAATGTCAACCATTGATGTTGCCAGATGAGGACATTCTAGATTATAGAGGTTCCGCCTGTACTCTACCATGGAAATATACTGTCTGTTCCAAATGCGATTTAACACCCCCTCCACTTCAGTGGAAACATTTCATGATGAATTAGGGATGTTACAGATATCCTGCAGTAGAGACACTGTAAATGACATTATGTAGGATAGCATTCACTCAGAGCAGCTCCATGTTTCTTCCTGTATCTTTAAAATCCCAATTTCCGACTATATCCCTTGTACAAAAAGATTATAATGCAAATTGTAGCAATACTGCGGAAAATTACCCAGTTACTTAGTTCCTCAGGGCTTGTCAATGCTACAGAGATCGAAGCTGCTGCAGTTGATCTTCCGGGGTTCGAATTAGCGGGTCTAGTGAAGACATGCTAATTTGAACTGAGAGGGTGCTCCTGTTGGTGCCAGTAGTCCTGCTCCTATGAGGAGAAAGGGAAGTTGAAGGGGGAGTGTGCTCTAATCAACCTCCTGCTGTGAGGATGGTGCCAAAATGTGATTTAAGATACTTCAACTCCAGCTAACATAGCTGGAGTTGCATATCTTAATTCAAACTTATCCTCTAGTGTAGACCAAGCTTCAGTGAGTTGTGACATGTTCATTACAAGGTGAAAACTGTGAGATAATTTATAGTGAAAGCTTCCTGGTTATTTGATTAGCTGGCAGCTTTCCTTTTGAGTAGTTGCTGGATATTTTTATAAGCGTTTGTTAAGAGACTTACTTGACTGGACATGTAGAGCTTTGGAAAAGATTTTTCATTGCTTTACAACCTTACACAGCAACTTCTGTAAGTGAGTAATTCAGTTGTTCCATTTAAACTTGAAACATGATCACAAGTGGCATGTCAGTTGTACAAATGAAACCAGTTAAAATTCTGTTGTTGTTTACAGGAAAACAATGTGATGCAGTTGTTTTATGTAGTTATGTAGTTACTGTGTATACTACAAATAAATAGGTTTCCAGTCTTTTCAAACCATACTTTTAGAATAGGCAGTTTATTTTACAATGGAAAATATTCCCAATTATTTAACTTTTGTTAAACTCCTGTAATTGTGACAGATTCATTATGGGTTCCCAGGGTATATATTATACTTGCAGGTAATTAGAACTGTATGGTTCAGAACAGTGCTTTTTTTGGTTTAAAAAAAAAAAGTGCCGGTACTATGGTTGGCAGATGGTTTTAAAAAAATTGTTGAGCAAAAAAAAAAAAACCAAACAAACAAAAAACCCTGCCGGGGCCAAAATGTGGTTGTGGCCACTTTAATTGCCCCAAAAAGGTGGTAGAACGCTGTACCTGTGTGTACTGTCACAAAAAAACACTGGTTCAGAATGTCTTTTTTAAATTACATAATCTTGTCATAATAAAAATGTGGCTTGTTAAAAGATGATAAACTGAATAATTTTAATGCAAACATTAATAATTACCTTTATTCTGAGGCATCCTTTTGCAATTTGAAGTTACCATTTTTATATGTGCATTCATTCATCTTTGTAGGATCTAATTACAATACGTAAGTGACGGTAATGGTATTTCTGCACGTTAGAGCCACGTGGTTTTAAATAATAATGTACTGCCATTTAAGGTTTCTTTCTAAACTTTAGAATAGTGTCTCTTTTATAAATGAGTATTTGTTTATGGGAATGAACAGAAAAGTCCCATCTTTAAAAAAAAAAAAAAAAAAAAAAAAAGTAGTTGTGTATTAATACTTTTCACATTGAAAAACACAAAATCCATTTGTTCCAGAGTTTGTACATATATAACATTCAATTTTGAAAGCAAAGATCTAATTAGAATAAACTTAAATCCATACAATTAATTTAAACTAGTTGCCGTTACCATTTTAAAATTAATTTATAAACCTTCTGCTTCCCTTTTCTAAGCATCTGAGCACCTTATTTTATGAAAGTAACTAATTATAAAAAATACTAGCTTTTCTTGTAAACATCACCAATTAAGCCATGTTTTTCCACTTTGTACTGTTAAACAAAACATTCTCAGAAATTTAACCCAACAGATAAGTGTTATATTGTCCTGAAGCATGTTAAATGCTGGCTGTGGTGGACTTCAAGAAACACTGTTCGCTCTGCTGTGGGAAGTTTAAGATGCATAAATTGACAGTTACTCCTCTCTCCCCTGTCTCATGAGTAATTCCAGATTATAAATACCATCTTGAAAGGCACTCAGCAGAGAAGTGAGTAAGTAGCCATTGTGGTCAGCAGATTTGTGCTGCATCCTGCACTAATGGAAGCTTTTAGGCACTTTTCACAGCTAGACCCAAGTAGTGTATGTTGCCATAATGCAATCTGGAGGTAATACGCATGGATCATTGTGTTGGAGATGGATTAGAAAAGAATGATCAGGGCTCGACTATTAGTGTAATCTACTTGCCAATGGCGAACAGGCCGGCATAGCTGTGCAGCGTGGTCAGCGCATGCGCAGCGCGCCGAACCTCACGGCTGGCGAGCAGGGCTCGCTGCTGCTTGGTGAGCCCTGAGAATGATGATAACTTCCAGAACAGTTATATAAGAAAAAAGATAGTACAGCCTCTCCCTGATTTACGAACCGGTTACGGACCTAGCAATTGGTCCGTAACTTGGTTTGTTCATAAGTCGGACCCCATAGAGTTACACGTGATCACACTGTTCGTAAGTGCGGATCGCGTTCGTAACTCGGGGTCCACCATTTATGACGGCTTCGGCCGTAAATGCGAATGGTCGTAAGTCGACTGTTCGCAACTCGGGGACTGGCTGTATGTGCTATATTGAGACCTCAGGTGCAGTCATAAAATCAAACTGTTGGCCAAGGTTAGACCTACATGTAGACAAATGGAAGGTGTTCTTTTCACCTTTGCTAGTTCTGCCCAGATGCTTCTCCTTAGTTCTGCCATTAACATTGCTTCCATGGTAGTTGGATTTGGCCTGAACCTGTTCACTTTGTGCTTACTGCATCTAGTGGAGGTGAGAGGGATGTAAAATCTCATTTAATTGGTTAAACATTGTTAACCCATTCACCAATTTAAAGGGGGTGTGGGCAAGGAGGCTGGGCTGGAGTGACCTTCACACTGTAGGCAGGGGATGCTCCCTGGCTCTGTCTTCGGTGGGCTCACCATGTATAAAGGCTGCTTCGCATTGCCAGAGGAGCCCCTATCTGTGGCAGGCCCCCTCTAGGGCCGGAACAGTGAACTGGAGCAGGTAAGCATCTCCTGTTAAGGGTGATGTTTACCAGTGAACCGGCTAACAAGTTAACCATTCACACCCCATCTAGACTCAAACAAAATCACAGATAAGTGTCAACTGGAAACTGAGTTTGCAATCTGGAATGTTTCACTGTCTGCCTTAAGGGGCCATATACTGTATGCACACTGAACAAGAAGAGTGACAGAAGAAATTGTGCACAACCCCAAGGAGGAAAAACTAGTAATTCCTAATTAGGGATTTTCAAGAGAGACATAAACTTGCTGAAGAACTTTCCCGTCTAGTTCTGAAGGGCTCCATGGACACATTGTCAAAACGACAGATAATGGCATTGCCTCTCCACATCTCTGACACATGGCATTAGTTGAAGGGACCTTCATTCTCAATATTTGTCTGAAGTTTCTTTAGTACCAGTCTGTCACCAAGTTTCCTTAAAACTTCTTTAGTAAGAGACTGTTTAATAATTGACTAGTGGAATCTTCTGAGCAGACACTTAATCATCTGCTATTTAAATATACTTGGCACCCTGGCTTCACAACAGGAAGCATTAACAATCCTCAATGAAGGACTAAAACCCTTCTCATTAGAATTCATTAGCCACATGGTAGGGCTCCAAATTGATGGATTTGGCTGCAACCCTTGCAAAATCTCACGGAGTGAAATTGGATAGAACACCATCAGAGAAGGCAACGTGTTCATAGCCAGCTGCTCTAGCACTTGATCCAGTATTGCAGGCTTAGATAACTTGTACTTGGCTGATTTAAAAAAAAACCCCAAAAAACAAATTTCTCCTGGTGTAAAAAGTTTGACATTAATAGAGCGAAGACAGATTAGGTTCACTTGATTTAAACAAATTTCTCCTGGTGTAAAAAGTTTGACATTAATAGAGCGAAGACCGATTAGGTTCACTTGATTTTTTTTTTCTTCACAATGACCATTCCTTCACAATGGCCAGTTGAATGAAGATGATTGATGGAGAATGATCCTTTAATAGAGAACATATTGGCATATAATGTTAATGGAAAGAGAAGAATGAAATGCTGCATAATTCTGCTATTTCCTTGCATGTAAACTGAGAAGGGAAATCATGAAACAGAAAAGCTGCGTGGTTTGGGTTTGCTATACTTCACTACTGCACATCCGTCACAAAATTAAATTTTGTGCTTTGCATTTTGTTAGTTTGTTTGGGTTTAGACCTGACACATTGCTAATTTGATGACACATTTTGCATGGTTAATAGAATTATACTCCTAACTAGCATATTTTGAGATTTTTTTTTCTTCTGTTTTTTTTTCCCTTGCACACTTACAAGTTGCCTGGCAGTGACATTGCAAGTGGGAGTGATGTACTTTCTGATGTCATACCTAGTATTCCAAGTTCTCCATGCTTGCTTCCAAAAAAGAAAAACAAGCATAGGAATCTTGATGAACTCCCATGGAGTGCAATGACAAATGATGAACAGGTAAGATTTGTTTATTTTGGAGAGAATCAGTACAGACGTACAGAGGAATTAAGATTCAATGAAATGGTTAGTTTTAAAAATTTTGTATTGATTATATTGGTGCAAGTATGATTATGAACAATTGCACGACTGTTGAACTGAGAGATCAAATTCCTTGTCAAGAACATATAGAGCTAGCTAACTTTTCCCTTTTTATTTCAAATTTTTATCTTGGATGATACTCAATTAGGTTGAGTCAAGAATTGTATGAAGTGCATCATTTGAGAGTATTTATTTGATTCCCTATGGTACTGGATCCTTTTTATTTCTGTTTGACTCATATTAAGAGAGCAATTTTTAATAACTTTGTGCATTTTGTTTTTATTAGGTTGAATATATTGAATACCTGAGTCGGAAAGTCAGTACTGAGATGGGTCTTCGAGAGCAACTTGATATTATTAAAATTATTGATCCCACTGCTCAGATCTCGCCTACAGATAGCGAGTTTATTATTGAATTAAACTGTCTCACAGATGAAAAATTGAAACAGGTACATTAACATTTTTGCATGTGTGTCTAGAACTGGAGTTACCATTGGCCTCTAACGTTATGTTTTCATACATATCTTGGAAAATTGATTGGGTTGTGACTTTTTCCTCTATGTTCATGGAGTATCAGTTGACAGGATGGAGCACAAAGCATGTTGTTGAACTTTGGCTCATTTCTTCAACAGTTCCACGTTAGTCACGTAAATGTGACTGACGTGGATTTAGACCTTAATCCTGCAAATACTTTCACTGCTGGCGTAACTAGACTTGCATGAGTAGTCCCAAAGTGGAAGTGCTGCCTGTGTGACTATACTTACACACCTACACAAACATTTACAGCAGTGATGGGCAACCTAGCCTGGCGAGTAGGCTGCAGGTGTGGCTCTCCTTCATTTCAGTGGGCCACAAGAGTGTTTTAACCAGGATGGTCTTCCTTCATTTCAGTGGGCCACAAGAGTGTTGTAACCAGGATGGTCTTCCAGGAAAGGGTAGTCTTGCTAACTGCGCTTGCATATCTAGAATTTGTGGGGTGTGTTGATTGAACTGTACCAGCACTTTGATTGGATGCAGCAAGAGTGCACAGCTCTCACAGTCAATTTTGTGTGCAATCAGCATGCACTTCACTTCACGTGCCCTGGCTTTGCACGTGTGACCTTTTAATAATACTGATAGATTCTGCAGGTTTCCATCCATGTTTTCTCCTATCAACCCTGTACTTAAGCAGTGATAAACAAAATGTCTTGTGGGGTCTCCCATAGAACCCCGATGGGACACATTTGCCTTCCACTTGTTTACAGGATTGAGTCCTTAATTTGCTTCCAAAAACTATTTTTTGGAAAGAGACACTTGCTGATATGAGAGGATTATTTGCCTTATAGAAAATAGGAAAAAAACCTCTTCGCTGCATGTGCAGAGTAGCTTCTTAGTCAACATTTTGTGTCATACCATGAGATGGATGGTACCTCCATAGATTCATTTTTGTCATAGGGTTTGTTTCCCCTCCACTTTTGTTATTGCTGAACCTATTTTGGGACTCAGTTTTGGCATGACACCAAGCATCCTCACCATTTGCTGAATTCAATTAAGATTGAGTGTGAACAGGTCCCTCACTGATTCTTGTTCATTTCATATTTTAGAGCACTTGAAAAAACTACCCCTAACCTAAAATGGTTCAGAATCTACTCTTCTGAGGAATACTACGAGTTATGACTATGAAGCAAAATGTGTTTATAAAACACAATACTTGCTTAAATGTCAGCATAATACTTGCTTACGCAAATGTTAGCATAGTCTTTTTACACTATGGCTGACCTTTCTACATTAAATCTTTTGTTTTCGACTATTTTATAATACATTAACTAAAAGGCAGAAGAATATATTCCAGTAAGAAGGATATCAGACAAGTAATTCACTGGTTAATTAAACCTATTTTAAGAAAGTTGAAGCAAAGATGTTGTTAGTGTCCATTAGTCAATTAAAATACTTTTTGTAACTGAGTCATTGTTTTAGACCTACAGTTCTCAATTTTTTTTCTCCCACACATCACTTAATGATCTTTCCAAATGTTTGTACTGTCAACTAACGATTTTGTAAAGAGCTTAGGATAAAAGCACTATATATTAAAAACCTTAATAAAGGGTTTTTTTTTAGTGCTACAAATAAAAGCACGTAACTCGTATTTTAGTATCAGTAGAGGTCCCTCCCCTGCCACAGTGACGGGGGCTATGAAGGAGGCTGGTCTCTCCATGGCAGCTGCTGCTCTGGATCTGGGGAAAATTGCTGATTTCTCTGACTGCCACAGCCCTGCATGTCCCAAATTCCCTCACTCCCTCTTCTCATCTCACTGCCTCCCCATCTAACTTCTGTTTCCCCCACCTCCTCTTACATGTGAAGGTCCAGGCTAGGGATATGAATGACTAGTCAACTAGTCGATTATCTGATAAGCATATGCTTATCAGATAATCGACTAGTTGACTAATCTGATAAGCAAATGCTTATTGTATAGTCGACATGCTAGTTGACAAATATTCCCCCACCCCCTTGCTGCCTCTATCGGAAAGAGGCAGCCGAGGGGGAGGGGAGAGGAGAGGGTGATTCAGAGCAGCAGCGCTACGTAAAGCCTCAGGCCAGACCTCAGGCATCATGTGGCGCTGCTGATTTGAAGCCCCACATGCAGCCTGGGCCAACTTGGAACTGCTTGAATCCCCTGCTGACCCCATGCTTCTTGCAGCGCTTTTACCTTTAAAGTGTAGCAACAGCCCTGGGACTGTTGCTACACTTCAAAGGCGGAGGCATCCTTATCGACTACTTGACTAGCCAATCGAAATTTTACACCCCTAGTCCAGGCATCTGATGAGTGGAACCATGCCTATGAGCCACTAATTAGATGGACAGCCCTTCATTCTCTTGTGTGTAGCTACCCAGATGTGAATCTTAGATGGAACTCTCTGTGGACCACTTGAATGGCGTTCATAAACCACTGGTGACCGCATTTTGAAAGCTTTGGTTTCAGACTCTAGTTTAGTTTTCCCAGAACTCAGTTGTAATAAACACCTATAGCTTTTCCACGTAAACATGCTGTCACAAAACCATGCGGTACCAATCAAGCGTTTATCATTTCTAATGCTTTTTCTTCTGAAGGTGAGAAGCTATATCAAGGAGCATGGTCCTCGACAACGGTCTGCAAGGGAGAGCTGGAAGAGAAGCAGCTACAGTTGTGCAAGCACCAGTGGCGTGAGTGGGGCAAGTGCCAGCAGTAGCAGTGCCAGTATGGTCAGCTCAGCAAGCAGCAGCAGTTCCAGTGTGGGCAACTCTGCTTCAAATTCCAGTGCCAACATGAGTCGAGCGCACAGTGACAGTAATTTATCCACGAGTGCCGCAGAGAGAATCCGGGATTCAAAAGTAAAACTGCTATTCATGTATGCACGCGTGTATAGGCGAGTCTGTGGATCAATTGCTTGTGGAAAGTCATTTGTGTACTGATTGTTGTATTTTAGAGGAAAGAAAAGGTGTCATTGGTAGTCACAGAGGATCCAAGGGACATGATAGTAAAGCAGGTGTGGGCAAAAGGGCCTCTGTGGGATGTAGTGGAGCTTAGTTTGATTTGTTTGTTTGAATAGGCTAAATATTAAAAGAGCTGATAAATCAGCTTGGCATTTTTAATGGTAGAAACGTGTTCTTCCTTTGAATTTATTAAAGATCAATTTAATCTTTCAGAGCACAATACGTGAATTTTAAAGAGCACAGCGTGTGAATTTTAAATACATGAATTTTAAAGAATATCTTGATCTTTGTGATAGAACTTTGTCTGGTTTCTTAATTTTTTATTTTTCCAATATATTTCTCATAGATGAATTGTTTATGCAGTGATGTGTACTTTCAAGCATAGTGGTACTAGGAATGTTAAAATGCGTTTACTCAGGTAAATGTGTAACCGCTGAAAAATGTCATGGTTACACATTTACACTCGGGAGGATATTAAGTACGACTTAATTACATGAATAATTAGTAGGAATAATTACATGGAGTAACGGTGTCGTCTTTTTCACTTCTCAGAGAAGAACCTAACTTTGTTCACTAAAATCCTCATTTAAAAGGCAATATTGCTAATAAAAAAAAATTTATTCTGGTAATCTAGAAATACAAGAGCTCATTTTGCCATTTTGTCTTTATTTTGACAGAAACGTTCTAAGCAACGGAAATTACAGCAAAAGGCTTTACGCAAGAGACAGCTGAAGGAGCAGAGACAGGCTCGCAAGGAAAGACTGAGTGGATTGTTTCTTAATGAAGAAGTGCTCTCTTTAAAAGTGACTGAGGAGGACCATGAAGGAGATGTGGATGTTTTAATGTGACAGGGATGAATTTATCAGTGTTCTTTCTAAGCCTTAAGTGTATTATCTTTGTTTACATACATTTCTTGACCAAAATTTTGATTGGGACAGAGCTAACAATATATCAAATAGAACCCTCTAAATGTAATTTAATGTTTTAAACATTTATAATTTGAGTGAGCTGACTTTTTAAGACTAACAGTTATGACTAAGAATAATTGAGACTTTAACAAGCTGCTGACAAAATACTGGTTAGATAAGCCATTGAATTAGGTTTATATGGTATTTGCTTTGGCAAAGCTACTTGCAATGGATTGTTCTGTTTAATTGGTTGGTACTCCTTGATACTGATAGCAAACTGTGTGGGAGGGAAAAACCCAATTTCTGTATAGGAAATCTCAACTTTAATCTTACTCTGCATGTTCCCTTATTTCTTATGGGGAGGTTTGTTTTCATGAAGACGGGATCTTAGTTCTATAAGTTACTCTGTTCTTGCCCCCACCCATATCAAATTCTAATACTTCATGAAGTTAAATTTGATTTTTGGAAATGATTATTTTGATTTAACTCAAAGAATTATGAAGTCGTTGGGGAGTAATAAGCAGAAGCAGGCTTCTAGCAATAAAAAGTTGTAATGTAAATATCAGCTAGTAACAAAATGCAGAAGAAAACAGTCATTTTCAAATGTAGATTTTTTTTTTTCTAGGAGGAATTGGCTGTTCTTTAAGATGTAAAACTTAACTTTTTAGAGACTTTCTCCTCAATATTTGAATGATTGGTTTTTGGTTCCTTTTATAGTTTTATTTATGTTAATGATTAAACAGTGCATCCTCATTCTTGATAAGATAAAAACCCTAAAAATAAAATCTTCTCATGCATTACAATAATATCTACAGTTGAGTCATATGATACCATTAATGGTCTTAAAAGTGTTACTAGAAAGAAAAGTAAACATATGGTGCCTAAACTTGGTAGATATTTCTTTATGGCCAAAACCGTATATAGGAATAGATTCATGATGTTGGCAAGAGAACCTAATTGATTCAGATGTACATTTTAACTATATACTGCCAATTTGTTTACTGCGTGCAGCATAGTTTAAGGTGATGGGACTTTTTTGCTAGGTGTGAAACTATCTCACAGAGTACTGGTTTTGTTGGGTAGCTTTTTGAATAAGTATTGCTGAGGAAGACAAGGACACACCTTTAGTTTTTACTTCTGTACCTGAAAACTCAAATTGGGAAGGTTTTACTCCTGACAAATTGTAAATCAATGTCTGACTTCATTATACACTTCTGTACCTGAAAACTCAAATTGGGAAGGTTTTATTCTTGACAAATTGTAAACCGATGTCTGACTTCATTATACATACATTTTATCTTGGGTTCATATTTTGTTTTGGATAAAATTGCTGTGTTCATTCAGATGGAACTGTTAGAGGTGAAAGAGGTGACTAGAATTACCTAGTTCTCAATTCAGAAAGGTGACTTCTCTGATTTATATTGATACTTCATGAATATCATTTAGATTCGTTCACTCTGCAAGCAATGAGTTTCTTACTGTAAATGTAATGAGGCCTCTGAAAATAGAATCCCTGAAAGTGTGCATTTTCAGGATCGAGACCCAACTCTACCCATGAATAACTTGACACAAGTCTGAGTAGTCCTACCAACTCAGTATGACTATTCACGCATGTATGTGTTTTGACAGACTTGGCCCTAAATTAGTCCTGACAGTGGAATTTTATTGCTTCTGTTTAACTTTTTAATTTAAATCCTGGTGGGTTGTGGAAGTTAGGTTCTGTTTAACTTTTTAATTTAAATCCTGGTGAGTTGTGGAAGGTAGGTTAAGGAGAGGAAAAAGAAAATGGGGATAAAGAAAATGCTAGCAATACTGTAGTTGAGATCACACTTTCAGTGGAAGATCAAAAGTAAAAGTATGTGACGACATATGTTTAGACTGTAGCTAGATCACACTTTCAGTGGAAGATCAAAAGTAAAAGTATGACACGACATATGTTTACACTGTAGCATCTTTAGAAATGTTTGATTATAAATGACATAGGCATATTGCTGTTCTGAAGTTTGTAGTCAGAACACGGGCCACTTGTGGGTTGTTGCAAAATATATTAGACATCTGAATTGTCTAATATGTATTTATTCCTTTCAAGTATTTATAATGTCATATGACACATTGAAAGAGCTTCAGTCAGAGAGGTCCACGGTCAGTCAAAGTAATAAATGTAAACTCTTCTACTCAGTTGATTCTTCAAAACTCACAGTTTTGATTGCCTTCTCATCTGCAGTGGCAATGAGAAATATCTGGTCAGTTTTAAAATTCAAATACCTGCTATGTCATTTTTTCTCTGGTCATTTGAATATACTGGTAACTTTTCATAGGCAGTTGAATGCTTTTTTTAATTTGTCTGTTATACACTGTTGCGATACTAAAAATACAAAAACAATCCACAAACTCTAATAGTAAATCTTGTTTATAGTTTTTAAGTTGTAACTCAAACCAAATAATCCTTATACTTTCTGTTCACAAGTCTCTGAGATGGAGGGTAGACAAAATTGTATTGATGTTAATACTGCTAATTTCAAAGTTAATTATTGAACCATTGTGGTAGAAATTAATAAATTCATTATGAAACATTTCAGGTAATCCATATAGGCATCTATTAGTCCAGTACAACCTTTATTTTCTACAGTGGCTTTGAAATATGCATCTTTAGATGAAGAATATTGTACATTGGTTGCCACATAGAGCATTGAAATTATGAAATGAATTGTAAAAAAAGGTGCAATACTTCAATTTAGTGGGGTGTGAAAGTGCAACTTAATTATTCTGCTTCAGCAAGTCTATTCAAAGTGTAAATTTCTTAGTTTTTATTACAAGAGGTGCTCTTCTCAGTTTGGTGAGATGCAGCTCTTTTCACTTACTAGTCACCAGCTTCAGAGTAAATATCGATGTTGACCACAAAGCAGTTTGTCTCCCTGACGTACCAGAATGGCAAGTTAATGTTTCTAAATAACAAATTCCTAAATCTAAACCTTAAGTTGTAGAACAACATTGGAGGAAGACTTTGCTATAGCGATTATGTGCAGTAGCAGAATCCCTATCCAGTGGGAAAATTCAAACAAAAGGAAAGCCTGAACCTTTCATATTTTAATCTTTCTCTTGGTAAATTTTATGAAATGCTTTACTTTTGTAATCGTGTTAAACTGGCTATCATTCAAAATATTAGTTTTTGTTTAAAAATAGTAAAAAATTAAAACAAGACATGCTATCCTAGCCTCCAAACTTAAATTTAAGTTCTCACCTCTGTATATAAATATGTGCATATTCCTACTTGTTATAAGGATAAATCACCTAAAATGTGCCTTACAGTGAATCTGACACTTGTTTAAAATTCTGTATTGGAAAAAGGAAAATGCAAAATGAAAATTACTACACAATGAAATGTTAATTAAAATTGGTCCCTCCTATAAAAATCAGTTTTTTTTTAAAATAGCAGAATTAATCATCAATTTAAATATTAGCCAATATAATTTTTCTTTAATATTTTATAATACAAAATGAGAGGAAAATAAATAGCATTTCTATCCTGGTATGTTAGTAATCCTATATAAAACAAAGTGTAAATCTAAATTTAAGCTTAATAGTTGAATAGTTCCAGTTTTCATCAACTTGGATGAATCATTTCCAAAACTATTTTGGTCCGTTGGTGGTGATGCTTCACCACTATCTAGAGAGTTCACTTCCTCATTGTATAATTTGATGATGATAGTAAAGAAGAGCGGAGGAAAAAGTGGCTTCCAAAAAGAATGGTGCTGATTTTAATAATGTGCTGTTTTTAGCATCCTGAAACTTAAGTAAAATATTATTGGTTATTCAGTTATAACTGTGTGGTTCTTTGGTCACCAAACTGAACAGCCTTCATTTCTTTATCTCATGCACCTAAATGTTTTGCCTTTCTTATCTCCATCTTGTAAAACCAGTCCATGGGAAGCTGTGTGTTCAGCACCTCCTAAAATAAGGCCAAGTAATTTCTTTGCTCTGATATGCTTATTTACACGTTGAGATTGCATATCTGAGCAGGAGGCAAAATAGCTTCAAGACAAAGGATATTACAGAATGCAAGAAGTTAAATGTTTCCATCTCTTCATAGATTTCAATTCTCACATTTGAACAAAAACAGCCTTTTTTTTTTCCCCAGCCCCAGCATTTTTTGTCAATGATTTTGGTCTTCACTTATAAAATGTAGAGTCATTCTCATCAGCTATTTGCCCACGGTGTCAATCTAATGTATGGGTTTGTAGGTGAAAAGAATATTTAAGTTTTGCTGCCTGACTGCTAGTTACTACTTCAATTTGTCATTCCCTCTGGTCTTTGCAGGACTGACATTGTAGGTCCAGAAAGAGGCCAAACTGTTAAAATTTTAGATCTTTGAACTGCCTTTTAAAATGTCCAATCCAGCTTTTTTCCCTTGATGAGAATTTTAATTTTCCAAAGCAATGAACAAGTGGAGAAGTAAATGCTGATAGTTATTTGGTTCTTTAGTATTGGCACTGTGCATATCTTGAGCTTTGTAACAACTTTGATATAAATGTAATCCATTTAAACTCCAAGAACATTAACAGTTTGCTGCTTGGTAACTATTTCTTTGCAAAGGCTTAGAAGGAGCACTGAAAACCTAACTGGAAGAGGACTCTTTTTTTTTTTTTTTTTTTTAAGTAAAAATATTGAGCATGGTTAATTATGAGTGAGAAAAAGCTGCCTGACAGACCTGTTCACTTTTTATATATGTATAGCTAATTTAGTCTTCTGCTCTGTTTGAAATTATTTCAGTATATTCTTCCTTTAACAGCCTGACACACTTAATTAGATTAAAACATGATAAAATTTTAGTTGAGTACAAAATGCTTACTGAGAACAGTAAGCAAAAATCAGATGTGATCTTCTCTTGTTTCAATATTAGTTTTTTAATGTTTTTTTTATATTGTGGTCAATAAAACCTGTGGAGATCTTTCTCTAGAAAATATTGCTTAAATTTATACATATGCATTTAAACTATTAAAGAATACATATTAGATGTGGAAGAATGTGCATAAATTTGACAATATGTTGATCTGAGTGGCTGAAATTAGATGCCTTGAAACTTTTTCCTTTACAGCTGCTTGAACTTCAGAAGTAAGTTGGCATGTTGATCTTTAAATATTGGTGATTTCTAAAAACTAGTTTCAGGTGTCTGAAGTGTTACTAGGCCACCGTTTCCCATGGTCAGTATTTAGCTTGTCAATTGGTCACTGCAATTCTTACACATGGGAAAACTTAGATGAAATGTGTTGCGTGCATAAAGGACCCATTCTTGCAGCCCTTTTAGCCAAATTCAAACCTTGCATGTTTGACACTTTAGTCTGAAGGAATCCTAGCCAGAGAAGAGAAATGCAGAGAACTTTAATACATTTCATAATATGGTTAAAAATTTCAACTTAATTCATGTTACAACTGTCTGTGATATTGGAACCCTGAGACTAAAGGTCATAACTAAAGCAAGGAGAAAGTTTTCATTTGAAAAATCTGCTTCAGATATTCTTAAGAGTTATAATGTGTGGAACTGTTAAATTTGGAGCTATTTTTTCCAGGGTTTCTGCTAAATGTTATTGCTACAATGCACTTTTGTACATAAAACTGTCCTCTGTAAATTCTGTATTTACTTGCCACAATGTTTATAGAAAGCTTTTTTCTTCAAATTGTGAAGGACTTAGCAATAGCTGCAATACTGGTGACTGACTTTATTTTCAGCTCTTCATTGTATTTAAAATAGTCATGTGAACATCAAAGTAAGGGTTGGAATTAAAAATAACATGGCAAAGATGTGCTGATGAAACTGAAAATGTGGTATTTTGTTTTGAACAATAAAGTTTGACATGGGATTTATGTGCCTGTTTCCCAACATCTGGGCAGATGGCACAAGTAAATGCCTCTGGTAGTATAAAGCATGTATGGAAGTAGTAGACCACAACAAATAACCCAGCAAAGGTTCATAGTCAAACATACACTTGATAAAAGCAGATGTGTTTTCAGTTGAATTCTGATGGATCAGAAGAAATGAGTTACATAACTTGAGATCCACTACCAATAATGCTCTGGCTTTCATCTTTGACTTTCCCCCTCATGCTGTCATTAAAAGTTCTCATTTGTTCTCTAAGATCCTGGTGGTGTCTCTGAGAGTGTATCTTCACTGCCGAATTACCTCTGACTTGAGTTTAATTGCTCTTTCA